GGTGAAGGGAGTCATATATATGGTGATGGACAAACAAAAATGTACAACCCAAAAATTTCACAATGTTAGAAACCATTAAAACATCAATAAAAAAAAAATTCTTTCTTTTTAAACTTTGTATTGCAAATCATTTTAAACATATACCAAGTAGATAATATACCATGAACCATCCCACGTAATTGTCACACAGTTTCAACAATCATTAACTCATGGCCAATGTTATTTTATCTATCCAATTAATTACTTTTCCTCTTTCATTATTTTGAAGTAAATATCAGACATCATATAATTTAATTGATAAATTTTTAAGGAGGTATCTCTAAAAGATAAAGGACCAAATAAGGTCCATACAATTTGACTGGTTGATATCTCTCTTATTCTCTTTTTACTTGTAGCTCCTCTCCCCCTGCCCCTCTATCCAACTGGTTTTCTTTTCCAAATAAATGACTTGTTCTTTTTGCATGGATGTGGGCAAAGAATTTTTCTTTTAAGTTAAAGTCTTTTCTTTTTTAATTTTAAGAATGTTTTCCTGAATTAGAATGCTTTGTATTTATTTTCTTCCATTGCTTTGGTTTTCTTCTTTGGAGTGTGCAATTATATACATTTACGAATTTTTCTACTTTTGGTTATGTTGTTCTTTCTTCTATGCATTTCTTAATTTTAGTTTATTTGGCAATATTAAATTTCATCTATTTTGTGGACATATCCTCTTGACAAGCTTTCACTGCCTTATTCTGCTCCTTGTTTTCTGTGCTCTTATAATCCCTTTGTATTGGAATTAACTGAGACACTTCTCTGTTGCTGTTTATTTTTCAGGCCATTTGGTTTTCTTAACCTTTTGACAGAGTGATCGGTCAGGATGTCTTTTCTAGTTTCATGCCTCTTGACTTTCTGGTTATTTTCATGAAGTATTCAAAAGTATGACCTGGTACTTTCTGTGATCTCTTCTCCTCTCTCTGGAACTTCATTTCCTTGCCTCTACCGTCTCTGCTCTGATTATTAGAGTCTCTTCCCAGCAGTTTCTCCTAAATATGGGGCTTTTTCCCAAAGGGGTTTCAGGTGTTAGTTTCAGTTCTCAAGGCCTTTACTACATTGGTCTCTTCAGACCTTACTGTGGGTGCAGCCCTTGCACTTCTCAGAAATTTGGATGGCAAAAAGCCCTCACAATTTCAGCTGTTCTTGTACTGGCACATTCTGCTTCCCAATGATTTGGAGATTTTGGAGACTGGAGCATTCTCCTATTCTTTGGTCATCATATGTCCTCTTGCTTCCTTTGTTCCTCTTACCTAGATGCTAATACCACATGGCTCTTGTAATTGTCATTAGTTTGTCCTCATTCACTTGTATTTTAGGCTTCATGGGGCTACCTTGTCACCTGGTTTAGTTATAGATATTGTCTGTGAGTTTTTGGTTTTTCTGTCCTAGTTTCTCTGTCTATTCTTATGGAGATATTTGGGAAGACTGAAAAACTACTTTGTTGCTGTTTCTATCTTCCCAGAATTTCAAGAGAAAACACATTTTTGATAGCACTGTAGATTATCAACTTGCGTTAAGAGGTTTTCAGCTGACAAAAAGTTTGTGGTAAAGACATGTCTGAAAAAGGTCAATTCAAAACATGAAAGAAACAAAACTTCAACAATTTCTGTAATGTTGCATTGAAATGTTTCTTAGACTGTTAGTTATCTCAAATAGCATAGTTATTTTTCAGAAAGTATATTTCTTTTTTTTTTTTTAAATGTTGGGGTAAGAAGCTGTAAGTTCTCAAAGTAGCTGTTGTTAAAAGTTGAATTTAAAATCTAGAAAATGTTTCCAAAACAGGGGATGGAGGGTGAGGAAAAGCAGAACAGAACAGATATGACAAAAATAAAAAATACATTACAAGAAGATACCTCAATGATCATAATTATCAAGATTCAGAAAAATTATATTGATTTAAAAATTTCAATTATTTGATTTTGTCCATTCAGTTATTCAGAAGATTATAAAAAAACACAAACTCACTATCTTTTTAAAGGACAAAAGATGGAATATCCCTCCTCACCTTTTTATTTATTGGATACCTGTTATGTGACAGGGTCAAATAAAATGTGAAAATAGATTACAATGTTCAGAGGATGACTACTAATTGGTTCTTGAAAATCAATTTTCATATATTTCCTTACAAGAATACAAATTTTTCCAATTCATGATTAAGTTACATAGTCTACTTACTAAAAATTTAATTGGAATAATTTCTTGAACTACACTTTCTGAACAATTTAAAATAAGTACAACAGAGGGTATAATGCAAAGTGAAATAAGTCAGAGGGAGAAGGTCAAATACCGTATGATTTCCTTCATTAAGTAGTAGATAATAACAACAATAAACAAACA